GCCCTATCTGTCTCCTTGGCATCCCTCCCCAGCCTCAACATACAACTGTTCCTCCTAGGTGAAGCCTTTGACCAAATACTTCAGTCAACACCAAGCTCTCTTTCCCTTCTAGTTGTAAGACTCAAATCTGGGGTCTCTGAGATTAAGATGGTAGTACAGCTATGTGACTAAGGACAGCTGCCACTTGTTGGAACGTTAAGACCAGGTCTCACTAACAGTGTGCTAAGCAGAAAGACTGTGTGTGTGTGTGTGTGTGTGTGTGTGTGTGTGTGTGTGTGTGTAAAGAGGGAAGGAATACAAAAAGAAACCTGAAAAGAAAAGGCTATATTACCTCGAACATAATACAAACTTCAAAAATAAATGTTGAATTGAATTCTGGTGTGTACAAATCACACTGGCTTAAATATATACTGACTTGTGTTATATTTCACTATATCCAGCAATTTCTCTCTCTTGTCTAAAACTGTAATCTGCTTGAGGACAAGGAACCTCTATTCTATTTCATTCTACAACCAAAGTCTGAAGTTCTACATTCAAGAAACACTGGAGGCATCACAGCATCATGGATACTGGGCTGGCCTTGCATTTGATGACCTTTATCTGTAAAATAAGGCTTGTTATCTGTTGTGTTTAACTCAGATTTGTCTTGAGATTCAAATTCGATAATAAATGCAAAGTACCTTGCAAACTTTAAAAGGGGAACAGAATAAACATTTATTAAGCACCTACTATGTGTCAGGCATTGTGAGAAGTGCTTTTAACAATTATCTCATTTGATCCTCACCTGGTAGGAAGGTGCTGTTATTATCCCTATTTTACAGCTGAGGAAACTGAGGCAAGCAGAAGTTAAGTGACTTACCCAGGATCACATCAAGGAAGTATCTGAGGTTAGATTTGAACTTGGGTCTTCCAGACTTTAGGTCCAGCACTCTATCTACTGCACCACTAGCTGCCTCAGCACTATGTAAATGTCAATTATTATGATTACTTATTGGATCGAAGCCATTCCTTTCCTATTTTCATGTGCATGTGGTCTTTCAGAATTTGCCTTGACATACTCAACTGCTATAGAGGCAACATAATGCGGTGTCAATAGCAAGATGTGAGTCAGAAGATGTGAGTCAAGTTCTTGTTTGATAAATCACTTGCCAAAGAACACCAATTCAACCCCCTTTCCCCTCCAACAAACATACTGTGATTTAAAACAAAAAACAAAAAAAAGACAACTCTTATCTGCAAGGACATCACAAACTAGTAAGACTACAAGACATTCACAGTATATGAGAACAAAGAAGAAAGCCACTCTCCCTCACTCCACACTTCTAATCAATTGCCAAGTGTTGGGGATTTGACCCCACAGCATCTACCGCTGCTAACCTCTTCTCTCCACTCACTTTGCCACCACCCTAGTTTGGACTCTCAGCCCCTGTACCTAGGCTATTGCAAATAGGCTCCTAATGAGACCCCCTTCTTCAAGTCTCCCCTCGCTCTAGAATTCATTGTCCTCAGTCTCCATAGTGGCATTCCTAAAGCACAAGTCTGACCATGCCACTCCCTTCCTCAAATTTCAGAGGCCACCTATTACCTCTAAATCAAATATAAACTTCTCTGTTCTGCATTTAAAGCCCGTCAACCCAGTCTACCTTCTAGGCTTATCCCCCACTAGACTGTGAGCTCCCAGACCTAGAGAACAGGAAGCATCTGTCTTGCCTTTGCACCCCAAGCACTTAGCACAATACCTGGCACACTGATAAACAGTGCTTAATAAATGTTTTCTTCACAGACTCCACTCCTTCACAAATTCTACAGTCCAAAGAAACTGGCCTTCCTGCTGGTCCTCACACAGATCACCCCATTTCCCATCTCTTTCTCTGCATGGAATACTGTCCCTCTCTTTCCCTCTCTTCCTTTTGGAACGCCAGCAATGGAGACCGGAAGACCCTAGTTCAAGTGCTGATTCTAATGAATATTAGCCTAATGAGGATAGCCAAGTCACTTCACTTCTCTCAGGGCTCCCAGGCAATTTTCTAACATTATAAGTTATAGACAAGAAAGTTTCCATACTAGAAGTTTCCTCTGCTGATGAAATCATAGGTCCAGACAAAAACAAAACAAAATTCGTCCTATTTCATGGGATTATTTTCAGCACATTTGAATGAATTAACACAAAGGCCTGCAAATACAAGGCTGCATACATGTTAAGGCTGCAAATTTTTCCCTTGGTTCATAATGTATTAGACTCCTAACCCCCTGGAGAGTAGAACCATTTATTCTCTACTATGCATTCTGGCCTCAAGGGAGCCTAGCTAGTATAATGCTCATTTCAAGATGGCCACACATGTTAACCAGACAAGCAAAGCAGTGATTTAAACACTTATAGGCAGTAACTGTTTCCATGAATCCCCGTCTTTCATCCAAACTGTTTAAGAAAGTCAGGCCACAGCTACCCTTTATGTGGGATGTTTTTTATACTACCTTCCTATCTCTGGAACTTACTACCTGAGTCACCCTCCAGGCCTCAGTTTCCCCATCTGTAAAAGGGAGTGGATAGGGCGTGGACCTGAAATTCCACTGGTAGAGCAAACTCCCTCTACCAATTCAGGTCAGCAACTTTTCTGCAATTTACAGGCTTAAAAGGTAGTCTAGGGCAGAGGTGTCAAACGGGAGGCATGTGGCTGCCTAGTGTTTGCAAACCAGATTAAACCATAACTGGGAAATATTTTTAAAAATAAATAAAAATACAATACAATATTTTGTTGAGTCACTTTCAGTCTTGTTCTGACTCTTTGTGAACCCATTTGGGGTTTTCTTGGCAGAGACACTGAAATTGTTTGCAATTTCCTTCTCCAGCTCATTCTACAGATAAGGAAACTGAGGCAAACAGGGTTAAAGTTAAAGGACTTGCCCAGGGTTACAGAGCAAGTAAGTGAACAGAGGCCAGATCTGAACTTAGGTCTTACTGACTTTAGGCCAGACACCTAGCTGCCCTACAATACACTACGGATAATGTTAACAAGTCATTTTCTAAGTCAATATGTGGCTGGCAAGTAGATTCCAAGGGTCTAGAGAGGGATAGCAAATGCCCAGAGTCACAAACCAGTATGTTTCTGAGGTGGGGCTGGAATCAAGACCTCAATAGGAGCTCTAATATTCGCTATTCAGAGTCTGCCTGATGACAGGCTCAAGTAAAGGATCTCTAAGGTCCCTCCCAGCACAAAACCTTGTAATTGCCTACAAAAATGACCTCTCAACTCACTAAGTTTTAGATAAAAGCAAAATTCTTCTATAGGACAATCAGACAAAAACAAGGAGAAGGAAAAAGTAAGACTATGTTGATTAGGTAGAATTTGTGGTATAGAGTCTTTTTTGAACCATAATTAATTTTTTATTGATAAATACAATTCTGGAAAAAAAATAAACCAGAAACTCACTGATGAGACCTTGGAGATGTTGAGCTGGACTGCAGCCTGACCATTCTGCATCAAGTAAACAGTAACTTTAGCTGAAATCCTATCCTTTAATCATAAAAAAGATAAACATCTACAAGAGGCACAGGTGCCCAACACGAAAAGTTCTGATCTCTGAGGACCAGTAAAAATGTATGGAAACATTTTTGCAAGAAAAGCCTGTAGCCAAGACAAAAGTGTCATCCCTTTCCTTTTCAGGAAGCAGTGGTAAAGACATCAATCAGTTTTAAAAAAAAAGGCTCCAGGAAGCAGGATCCTGGAACTCCCTGAGTAGGACGCAAATCTCCACTTAAGTCAAGCTGGTTCTTTCAAGGAATTGTTTTTCCAACAGCTCTAAAGGTTCCGTGAAGAAACAGCCCCTAGTATCAATTACATGGATACTGTTTTTAATCGACTCTGGTGCCCAGGGAAAGAAGCCCTTCGGTGATCTCGCTTCTGACATCAGCAGTCCCTCTCCTACGTGACTTGACAGCGCATCGGAGGCGCCCTCAACACCAGCCCTTTCTCGGGAGAGGAAATTAATCAATCGGTCTCTCAGCAAACCACCATCGATTTCCTTGCATAAACAAAAACAAACAAACAAAAAAACCCCAAACTCCAATGTCACCTCGATCCTGAATTTCTGTTCAGCAAACGAAGGGTCCTACGGAAATAAATCAGTCCCTTGTACGCCTAAAATGCAATTCTTGGATCCTAACCCCCTAAGATTCCCCATCCTCCCTCCTTCCCCCCTCCAGTCCCCAAGAGCAGGGAGGGGTGTGGCGGGGGGGGGGGGGAAGAGAAGAATCCAGCAGAAAAAAAGAAGAGGGGAGACAGAAACAGAGGAAAAGCAAGGAGCGGGAGGGGGTAGGGGAGAATCCACAGTGAATTCCAAATCCTTTTTGCTGTAAAGGGGCGGGGGGGGGGCATCATCATCCTAATAATATGCGTGTGAGCCAGACTATGAGATTTCAAGATGCATATTCTAAAGAAGAGCTTCTCTTCCCCGTCCCTTGGAAAAGGGATAATAAAAACACTAACAGCCTTTTTTTTCCCCTCCCAGAGAACTCCCGGGTCTGGGTCTTAAGGCTTTTTGGGTCTTAGGGCTTTAACCCGTAAATGACGTAGTCTTCAAGAGAGGAGGGGAGGAGTAGGAGGGAGGAAAGTTGCTGGAGAAAGTCTCACGTCCGTGTGCGTGTGTGTGTGTGTGTGTGTGTGTGTGTGCGTTTGAGTGTGAGTGTGTATGTGAATTTCTGAATGTGTGTGAGTGTGTCTGGCCAGAGAAAAGGGAGAGGGGGCTGGGTGAGGGTGGGAAAGAAACAGAAGCGGCCGAGCTTGGGATCTAATTTTAAGACAAATCCCAGGGCGCACACAAATGCACGCACCGTCGGCGGCCGACCCTGCCCCCAGGGGGCCCGGGAGGAAGACAGCGAGGGAGAAGGGAGGAGGTAGAGCAGAAGCAGAGCGCCGGCCCGCCCGACGGCCGGCCGGCCCGGGGCAGCTAGGGCCGAGGTGCGAAGCCCGCTCCAGGTAGAGCGCCCGCGTCGTACTTACGTAACGCTTCAACTTCTTCTCCGGGGGGGATTTTCGGAGCCATCCCGAGCAAACCACTTCGCCTCCGCTCATGGTGAGCGAGTGTCTCCCGGGCTCCGCCGCCGTCGCCGCCGCTGAGTCTTGCGAGGGTGGGGGAGGCGGGGGGCGGCCAGCAGCAGCAGCAGCCCAGGCGGGCCGGACCCTCGCACGCCCTACGGCCGCTCCGGCCTCCTCGGACGGCCCGGGAGGAAGGGCAGGCGGGCGGGAGGAGAGACGGAGAGGAGGGCGCCTCTGCGGGCTCCCCAGCAGATGCGGAGAGGAGCGGCTCTGGAATGAGCCGGGGCTGGCCGGGGAGCACACTCCCCCTCCTGGGCTCTGCTCTCTTTCTCTGGCTCCCTCCCTCCCTCCTCTTTCCCTCTCCCTTCCCCGCCCCCCGCCCCTGTCTCTACTCCCGGCTCACACAGACATGAAAGGAGGCTCCGACGGAGTCCGCCCCTCCCGCGCCTCGGCCGCCGCCGCCGCCCAGCAGCCGAGCCCGTCCCGCTGCCCGAGCGCGGGGGACGCGCGGGGAGCAGCGAGCCGGAGCCCAACCTCGAGCTGGCTCCCCGCCGGCCGGCCCGCCTGCAGCCGCAGCCCCCTGGCGCGCCCCGCGCTGGGCAGCCGCCCCTGCGTGACTAGCGTCTCCCGGAGACTCTGCCTGGAGCCCGAGCCCCTGGCCTCCCCACTCGCTCCACCCCCTGCTGGAGAGGCTGCACTGCACACACTCACACACACACTCAAACACACATACACACACTCACACACACACAGACGTGCACAAAAGCACCCTCCCTCTCGGGTTTCCCTGTCTCCGCAGTTCCCTGTGTACTCCTCCTTCCCAGACCTTCGGGGAGGGCGCCCTACGGGCGCGCAGGGGCTTTGGGAACCGGGGAGCCACCAAAGTTCCACGGTCCGGACGCGGAGACCCGCAAAGCCCTGGAACGGGGATTGGTTGGGGGGAGAACCGCCCTGGGGCTGGGTTGGGGGATAATCCTCCCTTCTCTCGCCTCCAGGGGAAGAGCGAGGAGGGGGTCGGCAAGCCCCGCGAAGAGCTGCTGCGAGACTCTCCTCCCTCTGCTCCCCTCCTGGGAGTGGATTCCACAGACCTAGCCCTCCTTTTTCCTCCTTTTCCCCCGCCCCTCCACTTTCTCTCCAAGATCCAGCTCCAGCCTAGGAGTTGCTGACAGGTTGGACATACACCCCCCCACCCCACCCCTCCCCCTTCTGGCTCTCCTTCCTCCCACCCCCCTGCCTTTTCCCACTCCCTCTTCCTCTCTTTCCTCCTCCCCTTTCCCAAGTTTGGCCCCTGGTGGTTGTTTCTCTCCCTGTCCGGACTGAGAGGCCAAGACTTTCCCTTGAAACTCAGCCAAAGCCCTTTCAGCTCAACAGCAAGGGCAGAGCAGAGAGACAAGGAGGGAGGAGAGGCACTCTGGGATCTGTAGTCCGGGAATGGCGAGATGTCTGTTTCTTTTCCTCCCTACTTCCCTGATGGGCAGAAGGAGACTTCTAGAGAGCCTCTTTCTGCCTTGAAAGTTGGAGGCCAGGACCCAACTAGGCAGGCTTACTGAGAAAGATATGAGAGGAGGAGGGGTTGGAGAAGGAAGACGCTGAAATAAGAAATCTCAGTTTTTGCCATGTGGACTGTGTGTTTAACCAAGTCTTTTTTTTTTAATGTGGTTTAAAGGAAGTTTTGGAATTTTCTCTGGGGAAGAATGTGTAGAACGGCCCAGAGAAGATTATCCGAACTGTTGGGGGCTGGAGTTGCATCTAAGTCCCTGCCCTTGGGTGGGGGTGGGAGAGATAGAACAGAGGCTTGCTCCCGGCCGGCAACCAGAAGAAATAAGATGCCTAGTCGATGACCATGGTGGGAATTTTAAAAAAAGAAAGAAAGAAAGAAAGGTTTTTGGAGGGAAAGAGTAAGCAAATTTAAATCAAAATTAAATTGAAGAAAAATTAACTCCTGTTGATTTACTGAGCAGAATCATAAAATTTTAGAGTTGGAAAAGAGAACTCAGTCCAATAATCCACAGCAACGATAAATGTTACGTTATGCTTTTGTGTGCGGCAGAAAGATGGAAGCTTTGGAATCAGGAGAGAGACCTGTAGTACAAATCTTACCTCTGACAGTAGCTATGTGAACGTGTGAGCCAGTTTCCTCAGCTGTAAAATGAAAATAATAATACCTGTAGCATCTCCCTTAGAAGGTTGTTGTAAGGATCAAATGAGATCATGCAAGTAAAGTTCTATGCAAACCTGAAAGTGCTAATTAAAGGTCAGCTATTATCATTTCAGTGACATTTTATGATCATTCACCCCTGCGATCAATTTCTGCCACTTCTCTTTGCTCGAGCTGGCTGAGAACCAACTCCTGAGTTTTTGAAAGAACGAATTGTACCTAATGTTTATGGTTTGGTGCTAAAGTCCATTTCATAATAATAAGGTGTTTTATTTTGTTTTGTTTTTCCTGTTTTTAATCCTCATAAGCCTGGCTTTTAAAGACTTAAAAAATTCCAGCTCATATAATGTGCACTTTCTCCAATTTATTCTTGTAGATCTTAAAATACAAAGTATTTAATAAAATTTAGATGGGGCAGTTAGGTGGTGCAGTGGCTAGAACACAGGCCCTGGAGTCAGGAGGACCTGAATTCAAATCTAGCCTCAGACACTTGATACTTCCTAGCTGTGTGATTCCTGGTCCTTTAACCCCAAGTACCTCTCAAAAAAAAAACCTAGTAAAATTTAGAATTGTAGATTTGGTCAACCAAGAAGTATTTATTAGGCACCTGTTATGTGCCTTGCACTGTGCTGGATGCTAGGAATACAAATGTGAGAATGTCCTTGCCCTCCAAGAGCTTAAATTCTAAGGGAATATAATATGCTCACAGATAAGCAAAAACAGTATAAGAGGCTGGACCTGTGGTTTCACTGGGGTAGGGAACCTGTCTTTAGCAGTGCAGGTTGGCAACTTCTTTGCAATTTATAGAAAGCTGCCTAGAGCATGACTTGGCCACTTGTTAAGTGACTCTTTGAAACACAAGTCCAAGATGCGGGGTCACACAGCCAGTGTGTGTCAGAGATAGGATTTAAATACAGGTGTCCCTGGCTCTGTTTGCCTTAATCCATTGGAGAAGGAAATGGCAAACCACTTCTATATCTTTTCCAAGAAAACTTCTCGGACATTATGGTGAGAAGAGTCAGACTCAAGGGAACAACAGTAACAATTCCTGGCTCTGAGGCCAGATAGGCCTCCCTACTTTCATATATAAAGTGTGTGTGTGTGTGTGTGTGTGTAGTTCAGTCATTTCAGTCATGTCCAACTCTTTGTAGCTCCATTTGAGGTTTTCTTGGCATAGATACTGGAGTGGTTTGACATGTCCTTCTATATGTGTGTGTGTGTATGTATATACACACATACGTGTATACATGCATATATATATATATATATATATATATATATATTTATCTAGGAAGAGGACAGTAGCTTAAACCAACTGGGGTGATCAGAGAAGGGCTCTTGACGGTGCCACTCTTAGAGATAGAAATGTTATTATCATAGATCATCATACATTTCAAAGAATATCTATTAAGTATATACTCTGTACATGATACTACTAAGATCTGGGTATGAAAAATGAAAAGAAATAGAGGAGACAGGTGAGGAAACCGAAACCCATAGGGATACAGGGGTGGGGAACCTTCGGCCTGGAGGCCGCATGTGGCCTTCTAGGTCCTTAGGTGAGGCCTTTTGACTGAGTCCAAGTTTTACAGAATAAATCCTTTTATTAAGGGGATTTGTTCAGTGATGTTTGGATGCAGTCAAAGGGCTCCACTTGAAGACCTAGAGGGCCATATGTGGTCTCAAGGCCACAGGTTCCCCACCCTGGATTAAACAGTTTGCCCAAGGTCACACAGTTATTGACAGAATGAGAAGTCTAAAATTTCCATCTTCTGACTTTTATACTGATCCCTAAAATAAATATTCTTCACTTAATTTCTCTGGGCTTGTTTCTTCATCCACTGAATAAGGACATTGGTAATTAACTACCTTTGAGATTTTGGACAAGCTACTTCATTTGCCTAACTGGAGATCACATCCCCTCTGGCTCTCCATTTCCTCATCTGTTAAGTGAAGGGTTGGACTAGATGACCTCTAAGAACCCTTCCATCTGTAAATCCCATGATCTGGAAACTCTTGAGATTCCATGCTGGTAAGCCAAACTTATTTTTAAATTGTGTATAAAGATTCTTACTAGGAATCACCAAGTTGGAAATTATGCATACATTTTCTGTCCTGCTCAGTCTTTGTCCATATACAAGGTACAGTATTTTTGCACCCCAAACATTGGGGACAAGTTGTTAGCACAAGGTACTAAGGAGTATCTGCCCAGACTTTGAGAAAAAAATGGGTGGGGAGTCTGAGCAGGGACCATCACTGTGTGGGGAGGGGAGATTAACCACACCCACTTTATAAAGGCAATTTAAAGAACTTTTCAGGGGCAGCTAGCTGGCTCAGTGGATAGAGCACTGGCCCTGGATTCAGGAGGACCTGAGTTCAAATCTGGTTCAGACACATAACACTTACTAGCTTGTGTGACCCTGGGCAAGTCACTTAACCCCATTGCCTACAATAATAACACTACCAAAAATTAATTAATTAATTAATTGATTAGGAACTTTTCAACATGAAAAAGAAAATTAGTCCTCTGCTGTCCTATGAAAACTGTTGATCCCTTAATATTTTCTCATTCCCAAATAAAATAATCTCATTCCAATCTATGCAATCATTACATCTAGAGATTTGTTTGAGAGGCAGCTAGGTGGTTGTAGCATATAAAGAGCACAGGCCTTAGAGGAAGAGATCTGAGTCTGAATCCTCACTTAACCACTCTTAGTAGTTGTAGCAGATAGAGAGCACAGGCCTTAGAGGAAGAGATCTGAGTCTGAATCCTCACTTAACCACTCTTAGTAGTTTTCTCATCTGTAAAATGGGAATATCAATAGTATCTGCTACTTCCCAGGATTATTATAAGAATCAAATAAGAGAATATATATATAGAGAGAGATTTATATATGTGTAAATATATCTATTTCTAGGTATGTTGTATCTATGTCTAATATATTGATAAAAAAATTTCACTTTGCCTTCTTTCTCTGTC